TTGGCATTGGGGTCCGCCTTGGCATTGGGGTCCGCCTTGGCATTGGGGGCCGTTCACCCTATGGGGTGTTGTCGGCCGGGAAGCGTATTGTAACAGTCATTGTAACAGCCCTGCTTCCCGGGTGACACAGGAACTCTCTTGCTATTGCATTTCAGGTGGTCGTGGCAGGGCCAGGTATGTTCGAATGGAAGCTGGACAGTCTTTGCGACATGTGCAGAGTCCAATCGAACGTCGACGGAGTGCAGCGCACCTCCCCACCCTTTGGCAACAACCATTACAGCAGCGAACCAGCCCAGCTCTTACTACAGCGTATGCAGGGTTGAGCCATGATACATCACAGCAACCATCAATCACATTTCGAATCTCCTGTGTGTTGCTGTACGAACATGCTAACTGCTGCGGCCTCGGGCAGTTGGGGCTTGCAGCTTCTGGCGCAGCTCGCTCAGAATCTCCCTCTGTGAAGTGAACAAGAAACATCCAAGTGGGATTTCGCAGGCACCTGGGCTGCTTTTCATTCGCCTGTTGCCATCAGGTTTTGTTTTCCGCGACATTGTCAAGGTCTTGATATAGCTCCGGAGGGTTGAGCCACATGCTTTCGGACATGCAAAATAGGCGCCGCGAACAAGATTTTGCATCACTGCAGAGCAGTAAGTTCATTTGAGACAGACCAGATACATGTTTATGTGCGGCATCTCCCAGTCAATTCAGCCGCAGAACCTGTAAGAAGCTTGAATGTCGCCAAAATATGTTTCTTCATGAGGTCTTTCAGCTGGGATTCGTTCGATCTGTTTTCGAAGTCCTCTGTGAGACTGTGATTGAAATTGGCCGAATTACTGTACGGACTCGTCCACAGTCAAAATGAGATTCATATCCAACCGACCTGAAGAACGGAAAATGAACAAGTCCCACGAGGCAACCGAAAATAAGAGCGAAAGTCTTGATCGCGGAGGACACTTTGTTGGCGTTGTGGTGTTGAATCTATAGCTTTGGGATCCTGTATTGGTGTCAAGCTGAGCAAGGACTCTCAAGCGTCGCTGGTAACTTTGTTCGCACCACCAAGCCCGTGGGAAAACGCCGGGTACATCCACAAGGCGCTGGGCGTCAACTTCTTTGGCATGGTGCACGGCCGCACGACTTTCCTGTTTCTGGTGCTCCCGGACGTTGGGCTCACAGCGGCGCTGTCGTGCTGACGGACCCAAATAATGGCACCACAACCCCGCCACGCAACCTGGCGGCAAGGGGACGACCATTGGAACTGCCCACACAAATGCCTTGAGAGACACAAGAGACCCTTAGAAGATGGCGCATATTGGTGTTCCGTTTGCGCACGGTACAGAAATCACAAGGCTCGCACAAGGGGCCACGCATCACTGTTACGGGTCAGTGATGAGTTTTTGTTACCTTCCCAAGGTTAACTAACCTCTTGCTCTACCTCGCCCTTCAATTTGCTTGAGCTAAAAATCCCTCCAAGAATCGTCGCCGCGGCGGACGACTCGGTACTGGTGGAGAAAATGCTCAATTACGAGGACAAGAACAAACTGCCCAATCGTAACGACATCCGCAACAAAGTACCTCGAAATTTGATAGGCCCGCCAGCGGCACCGGTCCAGGAGGTCGAGAAGGGATTGGTTGGCTCTCGAGATATGCCATCTGGTCCATCTGCCCGCGCGTGGTCACTGCTTGCATTTTCCCCCGGAGGATGACGCCGTCGCCGCGGTTGCCGAGATGATACAGATGGGGCCCATTCCTGAAGTGCTTGGGTATGGAAAGGTAATAAATGGTAGGGCCGACAGGCGATAGCTGGGCCACACACTCATATCAATATCCCTCGATTCTCTACTTCATTTTCAGTGTTGACACCACCGAACACAATCTCTCCCATTGAAGATGCGAGGTCATTGAGTCGGATACTGTAGACCGTCGAGGCAATGTAGTCGACTTGGACGAGGGCTTCGGGCATGTATTGGTACTTGTCAATGAAGGTGGGGAATGCTCGACCCTGCTGTCCATGACTTACTTGGACATCGGCCTCGTCAAAATTGTCATCGTCATCAGGAAAAGCTGGCAGACCCCCAAAGTCGAGGGTCGAGTTGGACGTCGAAGCTTCGAGCAACTCTGTATCAACTGCAATCATTGACAAGCTCCAGCATTCCCTTCAACCACTATCTATGCGGTTTGGAGTAAGACGAATAATATCGCCGTGAGTAGATCGAATGAATTACCAACCCACTGACTTTGACAAAGACCTCCGATCTCGCGTGAGCCCTGCCAGGAAGTCTAGGTGCCGAAAACGATAGCCATGTTTCTCGCGTCGACGACTTGAATGTAGAGCCCGAGAACTCAGGTGAAATCGATATCAAGTGCTGCAGTACCAATCATGACTCGGCTGCTAAGAGGTGGCACCATACCCGCCAAGTCCTGCGAAAACACTGGAGCCATTGATGCCATCGAAACCGCCAATTTCGAGCCCGAATGGACCTCTTCGCATCGTGTTCCGGATGATTGAACCGCCTCTGCAGACCTGTCCAATCCGCTGAGGTTCTCGGACTACTACGACTATGTGTTGAGGTCCTCTCGGAAATCCACGACTGCCCAGGGTTCGTCAAAAGGCAATGGAGCGATCGATGGCTCGGTCACGTACTTTATTCGCGCCAATCACATTGATTCAGAAAGGGCTGACACAGTGACGGCGTGCGCGAGCTCTGGTAGATGGACGGTCCACGAAAATGATGTGCTCCAGGGTGCATATGAGTCTCTACGAGCTTTCTCTATCTGCATGAGGTACTCGGTAATGGGGCTGAGATGCAATATGTACGCTGTTGGTTACCATACTTCCGTCCCGCTTCGCAGTTCTGCAGTATGTATCCGCGGGCTCTCTCGTCCGTAGGGATGTCGTGAAGCCAAAACGCAAGATGCATCCAGCAGCTTCGAAAAGGATAGCGCGTCTCCAATACACGGAGTCGTAGAATTACAAACCTGTGGAGCAAACTCAGGCGGCGGAGGCGGCGGAGTTTCACTCATTACTTCAAGATTTGGTGCATTTATCGTGTGCATGGGCAATTGATATCACTGCCCGAATTCCCGGCTCATCTGACGGATATTTCCGACACTCCTGCTTGGCAAATGCTCGCTGCGCCACGACCCTGTTGAGCAGACCAGATGCGAGTGCGCAGAGGTGAGTGCGACAAGCACAACGGCAAGTGTCCGCGAGATACATTTGACTACCGAAAATAACATGGGTGGACAGCCAATTTGGAACGGCTCTTTACAAGGCGATTTGGATTTATTAGCACAAACGATGGTGGGCTGTTCGGAAGATGCCAGACAGTTGGTTGACAAAGTTGGAGGCGGACGACTCGATGATGAACTTGAAGTCTTCGTGTTCTCGCGAAACATGGCAGTTGAAGTTGAGACTTACATGAGAGACTACGGAGTGGACAGGGGCGCCAAACTGATAAAAGTCGGAGGAGAGGAGTGGGGCTTAGTGGCACGGCTGAAACTTTGAAGCAAGTCTCGTTCTCCCGAGCGGTCCCGTTCCAATCCATGGCAGTGATGATGTGCAATACAGGCAACCTTGAGATCTTCGAGGGCGGAGATCCAAGGCAGGACTGGTGAAAGTGTCCTCTGGTCTCACACTGCTCTGCGAGACGGACTCCCGCAGGCTTTCGTCCTCGTTCTCTTTCCAGCTCGAGATTTCATCCGTCCCTTGCAAGCGCTCGTCCTAAGAAGTCTCTGATCGTCGCGTGGGGGCTTGCATGGCTATAGCTTCTCGGCTGCTGTGTTGTGATACTTCCTTACAATGGGCGAAGTCATACCGCAATGCTGGTTGGATTTGGGCCTCGGTGAATGATTCCGGTTGTTAATTGAGATGCGATGTTCTCGCTCCGCCTTTCACAACCGTTTTCGTCTATCAGCCAGCCCATTTTGAGGATTGTACAGCTGGAAACCAGCGGATCCGACCGTCAAACCTTGGCGAAGCTACGGCTCCAACGGGTTAATGAATGCTATGTGGGACTACTTAGTTCTCATTCTCGGTTTTCTGTGTGGCCAGAAAATATCTATCTAGTAGTAGTACGCTAGCGCGCTAGCGCGTCCTGTGGCAGGCAGTGGCGCAGTGTTACCTATCGGCTAACCTACCCCATATGGTTAGGGCAACATGCTATCTGAGAACAGGCAGTTGGTGAACAGATATTACTACAAATGGACTGCGCAGAGGAGACTGGCTCACCGCATCGCTGCTCAACGGCTCCGCCAGTAGATGTGAGCGCAGAGCTTCTCGCTACAGCAGCGAGTGCTAATGTTGGGGCTCGACAGCCGGCTTGGGATATCCTGATCTTTCCTCTCGACCAGAACCTTGGTCAGATGTGACGTGCATGGCGAGCGAGGCTGGAGGAGTCTCTGGTGTTTCGGACTCTTTCGATGGTCCCCGAAAACCTCCTCATATCTAACGAAACTGTTTAGTATGGAGAAGCTTTGCAAGGAGAATAGTACCAAATATCTAGCATTACCTTCTCTCTTTCACATATTTAGGTTCTTCTTGATGTTGCTCCTGCCCGGGTTCGCTTGAGCATCGATCCCGAAGCTTCTTCTAGCATTCAACAACGACAATGACAATCGCGACAGTTCTTCCTATATAAGCTGTCACTGGAAGACTCCCCATAGGCCAATTCAAGGCTCCTTGTGGGACGCTCGGTGCTCACGAGTCTCACGGTGGGCGTCATGATTTCTAGAGGCACCAAGGGCTCTTTGGAGATCTCTCCCAAACGTCGAGTATATAGTGATTAGCCGCTGTCTAATCGTGACCTCGGTGTCAATCGGATGGCTCAATGTCCTCGCGCGAGCAACGCGCTCAGTACCATCCACTGGACAGTTGGCTAAACGTACAGTTGCCTGGAATGGAAATGGACAACAATTCTGGGGTTGAAGAAGCACCCGACCTAGAAAGAATCGTACGACCTGCTCCCCGCCGATATACCTCAAAGACAGCTCTCTCCACACTCCCGCACCTAATTTCGAGTCTCAACACCGAATGAGACGGTCACACACGCGGTGGAAACACACCTGACTGAACAAATCCGACGATCCGCGGCCCTGGGGCCTTCAATGGTACAAAAGCACGGCTGTGCTTTGCAAGCTGGAAGAGCTGATATGGATACCAATCTCGACTAGGCTGTGGAGGGACTGGCTCTGGTTCACGACGCAGCCAACATTTTCCAAGATCCCAAACATAAGTTGCAGCAATATGTCGCCGCGCCGTGTCGTGACGGGCCATGCGGTCCACGAGCAGGAACTCGACACATGCTCCGGAATGTCATCAACACTCTCGGAAGACACCTGGCACAGATTGCTCTAACAGTAGAGATGTATTGCTAGAAATGCCGATAATATGTTCACTCCAATAGCTCGCTCGAGAAGATCGGTACAGCGTCCTTTGACCTGCTTATTGGCCTGCCACTCCCCTGCTGCTGTGCGTCTGCCCCATCGGAGTGGCCAATACCTCGCGGAAGTTGGCGAATGTGCAGAGTCCTACGTTGTCGTCCAACAGATCAAGACCGCCGAAGCAGCGCGGTTCGGACACCAGGTTCGCGGACATCTCCGGGCGTTCCACGCCGCGGCCGAATGACGCATGGCATGTGATGCATCGACGCGCCAATGGCGGCAAAGACTATATGGTACGTGGCGTATCCCGCCAGCCTCAAACAGTACGACTTGGAGACAGCATCCATTTCTGAGGAGCCAGATTCGCCATTCATCAAGGATATGACAATATTTGCGTCAGCGTATCAGCTTTGGAAATTCGTGCTGAAGCCTGTCATGGGCTTTTCAGACCCCAGGGCCACGACTGCAGTAGCTGATGCCGGATCTCTCTGGCCAAGAGGCGGAGAACAAATGAGAGACAAGGCGCGTCCAGCCAGGTCGGTGATGTCGGCAAAATGTGGTTGTGTTGAAATGCAGTTGAAGAAGGGCTCGCCGTCTCTTGAAGGCTTTTGTGGCTGCATCACCAGGCCGTCGCAGCAGAAGGGGCCTAACCGAGCCGATGCGGCTACCGGCCAGAATACTCTCACAATCTGTGCTGCGGAATAGGGCGTGTTTTTCAACATCCCGGCGTCTTCGGCGGCACTGTCGATTGCCCTAGTGCGGCTCCAACATCATAAATTTGCTCAGCATTGGCCCCTTACTATACAAGGAGCCACTTTGACAGCTGGCCTTTGTTATTCAGAAAGTCTTTGGCCGGTCGCGAGGAGACAGATTTCGGCCTTTGTGGCTCAATATCTTCCATTTCAAGGTCCCGTTCTACCGGGTCCGAAAAGACATCCTGTTGCAGTCAAATGTTTGTCGCTCGCAATTGAGTCTCAATTTCGTTGACTTGAGAAACACGAGGCAGGTGCTCGTGGAGCTCAGGTCAAAGTGGCTGGAGTTACTCAACATTGCTCTGTCGCATTTCCCGGCGAAAATGTGAGTGACGGAAGGAGACCAGCTCGCTTGGGAACGGTGCTTGTCGGATTGGTAGAGAAGTGAGCGAGCTTTGGCGTGTCAACGGGAAGTCTTTTCACCAGGGACCGTGTGTCTGATGGTTCGCTTTGCCCTGCTGTCTTCTGGAGGACGGTGCACCACGACAGAATATCGCGTGCTCGTTCCACCCCTGAGGTATTGACACTGTGATGGCGTTACCGCCCAAGAACAAACCAGCCACCATGACTTGACAAGTACGCCACACTCGGCAGTCGGCCAAGGCGGGATGTACCATCATCAACAATTCAAGGGCAGCGATCGCTATCGGTGATCGTTGTAAGGCATCCTCAAAAGACCGGAGCCCAGGCGAGACTTGTCGAAATGAATGTCATTCGAGAGTTCATTTGCGGACGGCTGGCGGGTAGCCGCAGGGACCGATTCATTACTAGAGCTTCCGTGATTGAGAGCGAGCAGGTCGAGATCCAGGGTAGTGGGTGAATTCGGGTCCTTTACCATGGCGGATAGAGGCTGCACTTGTTTTTAGACGATGGCTTTGTCAGACGGCTCCTTTAGAGCCTCAATCAAATCTGGAAATTCTATAGTAGCTTGGAGCCCGGATAATCTCCTTCTTTTCACTCAGGCTTCAATACGTTGCGCTAGACGACCCCAGTCCACAAGTACTCACAATCCGAACCGCACTGGGCTCTTCACCATATAAGATGGTAGTTTTCCATGACAGCTTGAAACGCGACAAGAATGTCGAAGGTAGATGAAACAGTTTGGCATTGCGATATGGCTTGCCCTATCACGAATGAATTGTTCACCAGCGTCGATGCCGTGTCGTGTTCACCGGAAGCAATTCCGTTGAGAGCTGGGTAGAAACCTTCTCTTTTCAACCAGCAATCTGATTTGCGTATAAAAAGAGTCAGCTCAGTCCAATTCAGGCTCTCGGCCACACCTGCAGGAAGTACCAGGGCTCCCATCATGTAGTCCAGGCCGTCGCAGGCCGGGCGATAAAATGAGATTAGAACTTCTTCGGGCGTCTCTGATAAGTCATGAACAAGATGGTGCTTGAGGAGCTCCGTACTTCGTTGTCCCTCGGCTATAACGACGATCTGTTACCTCGCACCGAGGAGCGGCCCAGCTCCGGCTGTGGCGAGGCTGTCCAATATATTCTGTAAAGTTTTACAAGATGTCGTCAGTTCTGATCACCCTCTTCTGACGACCTGAGTTGGAGACGCTATTCGGCAATGATGGATTCATGGTGAGTACGCAGTGGACCAGCCCGATATGCATCATCTATGGGACTGGAACTGGGGCTGTCCGTGCCGACCTCGAAGCCGGGGCGTTGTTTTCAACAGCCTGGAGATGCCGTTCTCGACGGAACTAGACGGGCGGCATCTTGTTGTTCACTGTCTTTGACGACGCGGATATCGACGTGTGGTCGAGGATGCGCTCATCAGCAAGTTTCGCCCATTTGGACAGCCCTTGGTTTGTGCGAGTTTCATTTTCCTTTATACAGCAGCCCTGCATTGAGTCCCTTTGCTGATGACTGCGCCCTTGTGGGGAGCAAAGGAACTGAAGATTGCCGTCCGTGTCCCTTGCCGTTTTGTCGAATGCTTTGCATGGGATGAATGGGAGGTGGAAGGAGATAGAGGGCCAGAAACGGGGAAATGCTTCCGTTGGTATTCAACAGCAAGACGATGTTTATGGACGGACGAGGGCGCCGCAATACATTCAGCAACATGTCCTTCGCTTTTGTCGCGTTGAGGTTCTGCCGCATCGCTCTGTGGCTCCCTGCTCATGCCTTTGTCTCCTTCCAGAGGTTTGTCAACTTCAATTTCATTTCTCGACCCAAAACGGCCATGGTGTGGATTGAGCTCTTTCTCTTGAGACTTAGACTCGTGGGAGAAGCATTGCGCGGAGAATGAGGGCGCTCGACCATCTGTCGAAACTGGTCTGCTTCACGCATTACATGGTCAGGACACGGCAGAAGGGTACAGCTCGGCACTGTATTCGTTGGGGTGGCAGTCTCCGGCGTAGTACCCCAGACGCTGGGATTTGGCTGCTTGGTCGGCTGGCCAAGAAAGTCGGCATGACGGCCGGCCATTGCGCCCATTCTTAACGGAGTCAACCATAACAGCTCTACGGACACCCCAAAAGCGCTGTCAGCAAGGAGACCGACACGGCGACGGTGCAAAGCGTTCGCTATCAGTTGACAACAGCGTGCCGCTGTCAAAATTGATTACAGAGAGTGCCCTGACAGCCAATGCATCCGGCTTTTCTTCCACATTTTCAAGATTTCCTGGTCGGAAATGTACTCTTCGCACTGGACGCACCACCGAAATCGCATGATTGGTTGATGATACCGATATATCAAGTCCAGCGTCTGCAATGTGAGATCGGTATCTGTGTCCGAGGAGGAGAACTTGCCGGCCGGATACATTGGCCATCGCAATTCCTCACACAGCCACATCTGCCAACAACCCAATTCCACAGACAGATTGCACCTGCGAGCGGCTAATTAAGAGTGCCGGATGCAAGGCAGAGCGTTGTCTAACTCGAGGTCTCCACCCAGTTTCGAGCAGCCAGGTCGATTGAAAATCCTTCCTCCACATGTTCGACATTGTGGATGTCTTCGGTGATCTCCGTGACGATTAGGTTTCCTCCTTTTCGTTTGCCAGCCCAACATCAGTCAACGCAGTCTGACGCCACAAGATTCATGCTGTGTACCTGTATGCAGTTTCAGAGAGGGGATGATTATTGCAATTCAGACGTTCTGCAGATAGAGTTGCCGTGACCTTGTAGAATGTTGGATAGGAAAGCTCCCTGGCCCATGGATCAGGTCGAAACTCCAGACTGCGGCTTCAGATGGAAGGCCTGCTCATAATCGCTTGGTGCTACTTCCTCACTGCCAATGTTGAAATATGCACCCAATTGTTGAGATTCCTGCCACGCTGTGACCAGGAGCTTTGTCACCTGTGGGCCAGAAACGACAAGTCTGGTCTTTGAGTGTTGAATGGTCACCTGAACCCTGACACATAAAGTTCGGTCGGCAGCCTTTTGGGAATTGGTTGTCGTGGGTCGTGCAATATCCTCCAATTAGGATGTAGAGTCAAGAAGAAGGCCTCGACGCCGTGGTCAAAGTAGGCTTCCAGGATTTCTTCCTTCCCTTCACGGGCTCATGAAGCACAAAACCAATCGGGCTTTCCAATATTCTGGTGGCTTTTCGGATCTCGTCGACCGGTCCGACTTGAAATCTCGTAATTTCGTCATCGCAGATAACAGATAGGAGCCCAGAGTAGGAAGAGGTTCGCGTTGGCCACATACATTGTACGTCCTGAAGATGTTTCGTGAAGCGTACGAATTCTGTCGGGGCTGTCGGAGCCATTGAGTGTCGAACGTTCCAGAGCGAACCGCCTCCGGTTACTTTGGCGGACATCCCGATAAACTCTTGGAGGACACTGTTAGATTTGTAAAGGACTCATGACGTTGTGCATCTGCGAGCCCAGTCGCAGTATTGGGGCAGATCTGCCAGGCGTGCGGTGAATCAGGACGTGTCCATTGTCTCATAGAGCGGCTTCAACAACCACCTCCCAGCACCCACTCCTGGGCAAATGAAGTTCTTGTCTCCTGCTCTCCTCATCGCCCCAGTGATACAGGGCATTTGGATCCTCAGCAGCCTAAGAACGCCAGCTGAAAGAGCGGGTTGGTGGTGGGGCAAGCCGAAGTGACCAGTCGAAAAATGTGAAGGAGCAGAGTCGGCAGCAGATGAAAGTGTGCGGCAGATCTGATTACCTGAATGGGATCAATGGCATGGCTGTTTGAAAATGGGTCTGCGTCTCTAGCGGAGTCAGGTGTCCCCGAAGGATTGGCGCCCTGAACCCGTTCGAAGATCTGACACGTTTGGGTCTTTCTGATCCTCTCCATCGCGTACACCGGGCATACCCCGAGCTTGGGAAACAAGGTCTTCAAAATTGCGCGTCAGCAGATAGTGGAACTCTGACAAAACGGCGCTGGGGACAAGGGCGGAGAAGCACAATGTCGAGATGGTTGTCACGGTTGCACCAAGAGTCAGATCAGCACGTGGCCTTGTCGGCGCTGTGTGTGGCTGTACACCCAGACAGATCTCTACCACGTGTCTCACTCAGGACAGCCCGACCCACTCACCCTGCCTGCCTTTTCCTTTGTTGTGGGCTGTCATGTTATTGGCGGTATAGTGGTTATGCCGTTCTGGTGCTGTGACAATCCTCCGAGTCCTGCCTTCGGGACAAGAATCGCTGTTGAGTGTGCAACTGTCAGATGAATTCTGAGACGGGAAATTGGGAAGGTTGGAAGGCCTGGAGGACTCACCTCGTGCGGGGTAGCCTCTCAAAATCCAAAATGCGTTGTCAGGGGGGAAGGAGGACCCGCTGGCCCCGCACCCCTCGGAATGCAACTGCAATTTCCCGGAAATTAGACACCCACAACAGTGTCACAACACCCGGCCGGGCACTGGCGCAAGGCCCAGGCCAAGCAAGGTTGTTTGTTTATTTGCGCCACAATGTCTCGGCCACGCGAGGAACAACAACAACAATAACAAGACATTTACGGTGGTGTGGGTACTGCGCCTTCATTGCGCAGCGGAGCATGCTGCCCCACGCAACTTGACATGGCGTGACAACAATGCAAATATTCTGCAATGCAGGTCGGTCGGGCGCCTCCTGGTCACTTCACCTCCAGCATGCCGCCTATTCTGGGATATCTCTTCCTCTCCCGCTTCTTTTGGCAGTTGACCACAACCGCAGGGTGAGGGGCGGCAGCAAATTGTCGGCATAGGCAAGTGGAGTGCAGGGGAAAAGCGGAATTAGGCAGCAAGATGTTCAGCCCTGTTATTAGCTCCAGGTCGGTCCCCCGCCGGAGATCCCCGCCGGCCACTGCGCCACGGGTGGTAGTGGCGGGGGTGGCTGACTTTGGGGCAGTGCTTGGGAGCGAGAAGGTCGCCTACCCACTCCAGCGTTGCGGATGCGTACTACAAGGCATACCACAAGGATTCCTGCGGCCGCCGTGTCCTGTCCTCCTTCCCCCCCCCCCTCCCCCCAAGGTCAACCCCAATTTCAGTGGCTCACCATCACGCATGGATCCCCATCTCCTCCCATTCCAAAGAGATGGAATCGTTCAGGATTTCCACCCTCGAGTTGCTGAAACATGAATGCATCGGCGCCCTCTGTACCATCGTGTGTGCTCCTTTGGAGAGGCACGTCTCCTGATGCGGAGCTAGGCGTCTCCTGATGCGGAGCTAGGCCTTTCTTTATGCCACTGCTCCAGAATCTCTGCGAGGCTTTGGTCAAAAGTTGTCACATGCTCATTGTCCGTGAACCCTCCGACCCGGAAGTGCGTAGCGCCCATGCGGATATGCCCTCTGCCTACATCCTCGCAACCCGGGCGATAAGTCTGTGTATTTGCCCTCTTTGTAGTTCGGAATTTTCCACCCACCGACGAGGCATCAGTGGGCCCCAGTAACCGGTGAGACCGCTTCAGCCTGCGTAGGTCACACGGATCCAGAGCTCGAGGCCAGGGCGGCCTTCTGCTTTTATGCCCCTCATGATCTCGACAAGAATTGGGTAAATCTTGTCCTCCTTCCTCCACCACAAGACTTCGCCCTCGAAGTTGTCGTCATCGTCGTCGAGCGTCCACGTTGTTCCCCATGGAGCACGGCAGGGATGAATATGTGTCCCAGCCTAGAAGGTGACGCAGCACGAACTACAATGTGGACAATGTTTGACCGGCGCCTGGTGCATGTGAACTGTGTGCCTATAGTCGACCAGACGGCAGTAGTGACCAACGCATACAGAAGCCATGCTGTATGTCAGGATTAGGCTCTGGGCCCCATCTGTAGCGTTGATGCCTATGTCTATGTTTGCAAGCCGTGTGAGTGGTCTATGATAGCAGTCATACCATGAAGATTCGAGGGATTCCCGGTGGTGGTGGCCCAGCATCCATGGCCAGAGGTGTACTTGCGAGGGTTGCAGAGCGTTGCGGATTTCGAATTGGGATGAGTGTGGCCGTGACCTTCGTGCAAGTCGGAGCATTCACAAGTATATAAGCACAGACAGCCCAGCTCCTGTGTGACCTGGCCGTGCCACAGGCTGTAGAGATGCATCGTCGTCTCGGAAAACCGGTGAGGCATTTTCGGGCGGCAAGGCAACGAATGACAGTTGAAGGTGCACGTACGGCTTCGTTTCACTGGTGGAGAGTAACCTGAGGAACAACATGGCACGGTCCCCTGAAAGTCGGACTCCGATCAGCCCGGCCACCGACGCACGATGGGTCCCACAAAGTGGGCGGCAACTGAGGGATTTAATCAGACTCGGCCAATTTCGAAGGGAGCCACCAATTTGGCAAAAGGCTTCGGGCTGGGGCAGAGTGTGGCAGAGACGCCCTGACAGAGAGGATGGGAGGAGCAATGCCACTGCGCATGGTTGCCGGGGCCACCCGTCTCCCAGAAACATAATCTGGCGGTTTGCCCAGCAACGCCCAAGCCAGCACGGAAACTTTCTCCGAGACAGCAGCCGGCGGTTGCGTCATGGACTTAGTCTGCTGCCGAATTCCATCGTCGAGGAATGCTGGTTAGGAATGTCCCCAACAAAATTTGACAGGGCGGCCTCTCCACCTCAGGGCCACATGGAATGCGCTAGCATCGCCATGCCCCATGCTGTTGGTCAATTTCCGCAGCCCCACCGACGCTGCGCCCGATGGTTATGCGCCTGCCCAGACTCTTTGCAGCGTCTTCTTCCCCTTAATCAGGTGCGGAAAATTCCCGAACTGGCGACGTCTTTGCAAATTACAATACTAATTTATCTGACACATGCATTATTGGTGGAGTCATAGCCAGGGATTGACAATCAGTCATGTCGAAGCGGGTAGCCCTTAGTACAAAAGGGCCAGTGCTGCCAATGTGTCTTGAGCAGAGTACACTCAGTTCCCAGACGAGACTAGTTGAAGCTGTTGACACATGCCATGTCCTGCAAGGGGGTCGCGGGCAATGACTCACCTTGGTGCAAGTGACAGCGGACATCTCCGCAGCCTCCCGGTGAGGCATTTTACGCTAGTCATCCAGATCCCCACTCACCGCCATTATCACGGTAACAGTGCATGTCCAGGTGGGACGAAAATAATTGAGTGTGCAAGTAAATCAGCGAGCGAGGTGCTTCTCGGCCTGCCACACTGGGAGCGTTCACTGCCACCAAGGCCAGCGAAAGCTTGTAGTCGTCATCGTTGGAGCCCACTCATTACCCTTCATCCATGCACGAAGTCTGGAGTCAGTTACCCTGGTGATCATCCAAGCGAAGACGGGGGCGCGGGTCGCTGTACGTGCTTGCGGATACATTCCCCCAACAATTGGGCGTGTCAGTGGCTGTGTGTGTCACGGATCAACCTGATTCCTGAGGCACCAGTCCCATTTGGGATCAGGTCCTCTTGGCAGCAATGCCACTTGGGAAATTGGCTGCGCACAGTCGCCACAACTTTTCAGATCGTGCTCCATACTGTAATCCCTTAATTCATCGCCTGTCACCCCCTGGGTCCCTGTTGAGGCTCTGTTTGCAGGAATTAGATCTGCGATCCTGATGGTGTGCGACACCCCTAAATTGCACTGTATGATCGCTTATCCAGGCGTCTACCTGTTCGCGCATTCCGTGGTTTGCGAGGAGGAAGACGGTGGAGGCGACTTTGTAGCCTCTTTGCCGTGTGCGGGAAGGCAGCCCCTCAGCACGACTCACTGGGGACAACCGCCCATTAGCGACGCACGGGCTAGTTCTCCAAGGCCCCTAACCTTCCCAAGGTATGCCAAGACAATTTCCCCTAGGCCCTCACACGGCCTGGGTCGGGCTTTTGTTGGGCTTCAGTTCATTTGGCGCGACCCGACCTGACCCATGTCGGAGTCTCAATACACCCGACAGTGTTTACGTTCTCCCCGCCGCCTGACATTGAAGAAACCTATCCACACGAATATGCAGAGCTGCTCTGATTCGCTCTTACAGTCAGAAACAAGCGTCGACTTCAGGATAAGCCCTGTTTCTTCTCCAATTTCTCACAGTTCTCTCCATCCAAGCCTCTGACGACAATTGATGGTGGCGTCAAGGTCATCCCGCACATTGGAAATTGTCCCCTTTGTTCGTTCATTCAGCGTGACTGTGATCGTACGGAGAGGGGTACATCATTGCTCGTTCAAGAAGAGGATGACTTGTTCACTCCTGGTTTGATCATGCCAGGCGCAAACTGAGCAGAGAAATTGAGTAGACGGGGCCGACCAGCACTGGAAAGCTTTATCTGATCGTGGAACAGCAGTGACTGAGAGTCCTCCGATGGAGCGATTTCGTTTTAGAACTACCATACGGGCCAGGAAGATCTACTGATGTGAGAGTGGGTGAATTACTCAGTTCTTCCCAGGCGAGCTGCTGGCAACGCAGAGAAGGAAGTCTTGAGCAACGTTGACAAGATGTCGAGGAACCACAGAAGAGGTCGCCTAGAAGTGAATAAAGGAAACTCCTACGGTTTTACGAGACTTGTCGGACGAAGGTGAAGGAGAATCAGTGGGGAGGCGCTAGTTTAATTCAAGAAGGACGACGGGCTACGAGTCACACGCCACCGATGACCACTATCCTCTGCCTGGTCAGTTTGGCGACCACGGATCAGAGTTGTCCTTCCCGTAGTGGCGTAAATTAAAGCGTCTGTGTCAGATGCGGGTCACGGAAGGATCTGTAGACGTGTATAAAAGATTTGTCCAAAGGGGTTTGGCAATCCATTGAAATCAGCGAGCAAAATGCGATAGAATAGGCACCTTCGTTTTTCCACCAGGACATTTATCGAGGCTGCGAGCACATTTTAGACAGACCCTTTGTCGACAAAGTAAACCTTAAGCAATCCCTTTGAGGCCGTCAAGCGAGGGGAGCACTTGTCACGTTTGAGAGCGGCCTTCGGGGGCTTGCTCGGAGCCTGCATATACTGCCACCCTGCTGCACCTTGCTTCGTTGGGGGATCTGCTATCCAACCTTCCTTCTGATTTGTTTGTGTTAAGGATATGATGGCATCGCCAGACAGCCCGGAATCCTTTCTCATATGTCCAAATGACAACTTCACGGCATACCCCAAAGAGCGGCAACTGAATATGTGGCTCACCACGAAATCGTCCGGCGCGTCGTGATGGCAGCTGATGGCAAGGAGCAGTGAAAATTCTGGAATGGTGTTCGCCGTTCGTCATCATCGGAGTTGTTGCTCGCTCCTAGATACTCAGGTTGGGCCTTGAGATTGGAAGTTGTTCGAACTAGAGATCCATCCTGGTTTGACGGAGCGAGATGAGGTCACAGTGTCCTCTGGACCCAGCTCGAGGTCTCGTCCAGGCTGCCACTGAGAGGGTAATTGTAGGAGGACCTTTTGCAGAGTCGAAGCTGTTCATTTTCCTTCATGTCCTTTTCTCTCTGGACAAACCTTGGGTGTTCTGGGAGTAGTGGGGCTTGATGGGTTTTGTCATGTCAGGAATGAGGTCTGCGACTCAATGAGAGCGTCAGTCAACACGCTTGGTTAGCAACCGTCCATGTGTTACTCAGATGTCCTTCGCGCGTGCTGTGGCGGACGACAGCAAGTAATAACAACAAGGCTGGGGATCGTCACGTCGGGATTTCACAATCCTTACAGGGGCGCAAGGGATGGACCCGGGTCGAGGTCGAACATGTTGGAACACCTCGGAGTGTATATCTCGACGTGCTGCGGCATTTATCTGCAATTTATCCCCAGGATTTCCTTGCCAGGCCGTTGGGGCAAAAGCGTATAGTGTATATGTGTTTCATTGTCTGAATTGGGTCGACTGAGCAGAAACACATATCGAAAGTGGCTGCCTGCCAGCTCGCACCCAGCCAGATCACTGGAGGCAACCTGTCCTCACAGCTCTATATGCCCTGGCTCTGAAGTTCCAATCCTTTCGCCCCTCTTAACCCAGGAGTGCCACCTCTGCCACAGTATAATATGGACTCAAAAGGCTAGGTGCATCCGCTACGTGCGCGCCCCGCCTATCCTGAGATCCGTGAACTTCATGTAGAGGTTTTGAGATCAGATGGATCGGGACAAGATATTTGAGCGTGGATCTGGTGATCCTGCGCTTCCGTGAACGTATCATCCGGTAGGATGCACGCATTGTCATCCTCGTCAATTCGACCATGCAGGATGGGCAGACACCGTTGGCCCGAGGGTACCGCCTGCAATAGATGCCGTGCGCGGGATTCAGGGTAGCAGTGGGGATGCCAGGGTATTGAAGAAAGTCAAGATGTAAGGGTAGGATTCTGATGGATTGCGCGCAGTGCCTCGACAGTAAGCGACTTGATGCTGCACGGCTCGAGGGTTGTTCGCCCCATGAGATTGTCTCTGGCAAAGATGTGAGGGTTCATGTGTCACAAACGACTGCGTGTATTCTCGGGATTTCTTCCGGACGTCGAAGAAAATCCCACGGTGGGCGTCTGGATAAGAAGGACTACCGTACTCCTGTCAATTCCACAAGTCAGCATCATGTTAGAATCTATATCATAAATGAGCGATCATACAACGCCATCAAAGGGGATGGGCTCTGTCAGCTGGGCGCAGGGCCGCATTGAGACGCAGCGTCATGATAACCATGGCAAAGCGCGTGGGCGCAGAGCCGTCTGTTTGTCTGCCCATTGTTGGCGACAGGTGTCTTCGAGTGGGAAGGAGTTGACTCGGTCTCTTGTGCAAATTTCAATCAAAAGGCCACCCAGGGTCACACTTGACCTTTGAGGCGCAGGCTGCAGGCTGCAAGCCGTAAGGTCTTTGATGATGGGAACTGAGAGGGCGAGGCAAGGCCGCCAGCCTCTAGTCTCTCGGGGCGCGGGTGCAGGGCAGTGCGCAGCTTTTCAGGCATACGGGGTCGGCCGAATGCTACCCCGCCGCTTGCATAGTTTGCTTGGAGAGTCTCCCCGCCAAATCAAACTTGGCCGCGTGTGTTCTTCAGATCGTCAAATTCATACTTGAACTGTTCCGCCCTCGAATCTGCAGCTGCATCCAAATAATCAGCTTCACTCGACAATGGACAGTGCAATGCAAATTCTCTGCCACGGCCAGTCAACTTGTACTGCCAACATTTTTCCAGAGCACTTTCATCCTTCATCAACGGCCCGAATCAGCGATCCGAGACCTGTCTCAAAAGGACTGACAGAGAGAGGGTGATCAAGTCTACAACGGCAACCGAACAGAGGTGGTGGCGCGAAAATGAATCCAGGCCAGGATGACTGACGATGGCAATACAGGGAGAGGCATACAGTCCCAGTTTTGGTCAACAATATTAATGTTGATGATGTCTCCCCAGGCCTCTAGGAAGGCTTCAAGCGTCAAAATGTCTGTGGGCAACGAGGCCGGACACACTGGTCCCTCCTAGATCGGTGCAAGTCATCGCGGGAGGCGGTCAAGAAACAACCTCAGAGCAGCCAGAAATCAATGATTCATAGATGTCGTGTTCAAGGATCAGTTTGAATACAGAATGTCGGTCGTCATCTCCTCCCCGAGCAATGTGTGAAAGCCCTGTGCGCGCTGGTTCGTCTTGTTTCTGTTCAACAGCGGCGACCGATGTAGACCTACTGCTGTATCTCATTAACGCACCACATGGTCCTGTGACAGCGACATTGTGTGATAATTAGCCGTCGTATTGAGGGTGCCCATCGCACCGGAGGATTGTGGCGTCACGCACATTTCAAGGTAGCGAAGCGTCAAGCTGAGCTGGTATCACCAGCTTTGCTAGTCTAGATAAAGAGCCACGCCGCTGATTGGTCACGCTTATCGGCGCTTATCGATTGGCTGGCGGAAACACAGATAACGTGACCTGTCGGATCGTAGTTATTCCGCTCTCGGTCTTCCCTTACTATTTAATTTCCAACTCATCACTACCTCCGACTCAGCTTTCACCAACAACTTTATCACCATAGATCTGTCCAACTCAGCTTTCACCAAAGACTTATCACCACAGGTCTGTTCGATTCAGCTTCCAGCAAAGACTTATCACCACAGATCTGTCCAACTCAGATTTCCTCAAAAACTTTGTCACCACAAATATTCATTCAACAGTCTCAATCTATTCGTACCATAAATATCCAGTCCGTCTGTCCTAACCCTCCCTCCAAACCCCCTGGAAGCTACTTTGTGGAACCACGACGCTGACCGAATTACAGGCCACTCACATCAGTCTGACTCCATCTGCTCCACCCCAGGCCCACAACATCTGTCAAGGGGAAGATGTCTGGAAATACACAGGCACAGCCTAGCTGTGAGCGCGCAATTCTTCTCGGTCTTTCGACAAACCAGTTAACCAGGCTCGCTGACCATGATCTTGAAGCTCTCGAGCAAAATTCAGCAGGGACTCATCTGACTGAGACTCGAACAAAACCGATCGGTGAGACCTTCAAATATGAACCTGTGCGGCGTTGTATATGTTGTACTGACAGAACCCCCACCGCAGTTGAAACTGAATCCCAAGCCTCCGCGTCAGGTGAAGCGGCCAACCCATCCACGGCAAGCGCGATGGAGAAACGCACAGCCGAAAGTGTTGATGGTGATCCACCAGTGCCGTCGAAACGCCTACGACTTCTGGATAGTGGGCCCAACGAACCCGTCGCCAACGACGGGAACACGGAGTTGTTGGTGGCGGCGTCCGACAGCTATTCTAACCAAAAGAAACCCGGGTCAAGCACAATGGCCATGTGCGTCAACTGCAGAGCTTTAATGGAAGTCGGGAAAGAAATGGGTCGGAAGGAAGACCTGACGTTGTGTGAGGGTGGCGAAGAACGCGTTGCTGAACATACACCTGGAAAGGAATGCCGGGCCTGCGAAGAAAAAATTCTCCCATGCAGTTTCGTCGAAGACACACAGGCAGGCCATGGTGTGACCAATGGGAACACGCAGTGGGAAAATGCCAAAAAGCTCGCAAGACGAGAATTGGAGGCTTTGACGAAGCTGGAGGCCCTGGAAGCGGAGTTGAAACTCGTCAAACAGAGCGCCGACATGGGTATTATCGGAGCGCCTGCTGGGACAAAGACATTCCCCGAACAACTCGCCGCGCAACTAACCCAGAGCAACATCGAGAAGACTACGTCTGTCCATGTGAAGCTAATCAATGACTCTCTGGCGGCCTATCGAACCAGTGAGTTGAGCAAAATCAACGCGAAGATCTCGACGATAAGAAGTGCCCAAGAGGCACAGGTCCAAGCCGATATCCGTGCTCGTTATGTCCACGAATGGAACTTGCGTTTGCAACAGTTGGAAGTCGACACGAGAACCAGGCGGTGGGTGGAGGACCGCCGCACAAGTTCCGATGTCGAGGAATCGAGATCCACCAGGCTGAAGGCTTTGCTCAAAGAGTTCAAGGAGAAGGAGGCCGAACTGACGAAGTCGAGTATGGATGTTCAGAACCGTATCAAAAGATGGGTGGCTCAGGCTGAGGAACACCTTCAGAAGCATGTTGAACATTCCAAGAACACATTGGCGGCAGAGGTGAGAGCACAGGTGGGAGCCCATGTGGCGCAGGTGAGGGCCCAAATGGCAGCCGAACAGACAGAGAAGATGAAGATGGAAGGGATATGGCTAAGCTTGAACCAGTTGGGCGCAAAGCTGGACCAGGTCGCCTCAGCCCAGGCTAAGTTGACGGCGGAGGTGCATCAGAGCACCGACGAACAAGAGGAAAACCTGCGCCGTCCGAAACCTCAGCGACCCGTCATCACCGAGCAACAGAATCCGAGTCCCTCGATCGACACAGTGTCAACGACCTCTAGCCTTGTGGTGAAGCATGAGAGCGTCGATTAAGAGAGAACATCCATTTGATCATCGTCCCTACCACGGTGGATGATACCGTGCAGAGCTGTGGTGCAGTTGGATACACCGTGATTTGGCAAGCATTTTAGATGGGAGATTCGGCCTGGCGCTGTTCACTTGAGGGGTAGCTGGGATGAGTTACACATGGATACGACCTTCAGTTGGCGCTGTACACTTGAGAGGGAGCTGGGATGAAGCACACATAGCTACGACATTCAAATTTGCGCTGTTCACTTGGGAGGAAGCTGGGATCAAAAGCATACGGCTACGACATTAACCAGCACAGAAACTGTGCGAAAGGTAATCGGGCTGGCACCGCCAGTCTCTCGCCTACCAGAAAAGCATGGGGGCATTCAGTTATGGCAGACATAGCAGCACACTGAGATACATGAGCTTTTCAATTCTAGAATACAAATGAGTTGCTGGAATCACCTGTGCAAGAAAAGCAAGACTTGCCAGTACGTAGTATCGGCGAACTCCAACCTTACTCGATTCTTGAGCCAAGTACGACCGGTTTTGAGTTGCCGGTTTACAAGTCTCCAGTCTCTCTCTCTCTTTCTCCTTCAGCGCCGGATATCTTCCCACAAAGCCTTGATCGCTACTGCTCACTCGTCGCGCTTTCGAGGTGCGCTGACAACCTCACCCATCTGCGAAGATTCCACCAGTTCAATGTGGGCCAAATGAAAGAGAGGAAATGAACAAAGACCATACAAGGTTGGAGATCCGACGGAAGTTCACAAGCTGGAAGGATGCCGTATTGTCATTTCCACCAGTCTTTGTTTCTCGCAGGAGTTGCGGACGAGTTAATACGTCAAAGATTCCAGCGTGGCCATCATCCCCTCCGATCCGTCAGATACCGGACAACCTCTCCCGCCCCTCCTCTTGCTTACCACGTTTTGCGGCTCCAACGGCGCTGCCGCCTGCGGAGAATCGGCCAGGCGAAGGACTCGAATACGGCCTCGTATCGCTTCACCACGCCGTCATCCGGTAAGCCACGTTTGGTGGTGAATCCTCCAGTGCGAGTGAAAAGACCTCCCTGTCCTGCCGCCTCATGCCGTGCGTCCGCTACCGGGCGTCAAGAGTCGGAGTGGGAGGCGCCCGTGGACTGGGTGATAATCCGCCTCGATTACCAATATCCCACGCGTGTAAAATCCGTTGCCTCGGCGGGGAGAAAGCCGCCGACGGGGTATGAGCGCGTTTCAATCGGGGTCGAGAATGTCGTGTCCGAATCAGAGGCTGAAATGTCAAGGCTGCTGAGTGAGCAAGTCCGAAAACTATGTTGGTGCTTGCTCAACAACCATGTGACGACCGGTTGTCTATGGTCACTTGCCTCGGGACCGGAATTCGGAATCGTTCCAAGATCGAGTTCGCCCAGAAGGCTGCGGCGTTCATTCCTTCCAAATCACCTCCAGCCGTTTGACCTGGCCAGCGGCATCGGAAGCCTGATTGAAGGTCAAAGTCGCCATAGTCATTGTGGGGGGAGGACCCTTTCGCAAGATGCTAACCGGATAGAAAACAATGTCGGGACACAGGAGGAGGGAGAGGAGAAGAGCAGCGTTTTCTTACGTGTTTTGAGGGACATATATGAAACGCCGCTCAAAATACACTACATGCACAAATCTCTCCTGGAGGCAGTGCCGCTGAAGCACGGGATGGCCAGTGCCACTTTTTATACGAGATTTGCCTGTCGGAGCTCCGTGACATGCGACACAGTATTCCACCAGCCACGGGCGTATGCACTCTTGGAAGGACGGCACCTCGACCTTGCACAACAACTCCCCGCACATTTTTGTCACGCCGGACGGGGTCCGGGTTTACAGTATATCTCAGCCCCAGCAGCCACGGTATTAAAAGCGGAGCAGAAACATTTTGGCGCGAAGCCAGCGAAGAGAAATCTACGCAGAAGAGAAATCGATACCGCAGCGGAAGGGGCTCTTGCTGCCCGGGGTATGGCACCGGATGGGCCAGCGGGGTAGGCTATCTGTAACGCGCCCGCAGCACCTGGTAGACTCAGCTCCGGAGCCCGGAATCCCCTGACTGAACACAGGAGTATCAGGTGTAGTAGCTTGACGAAGCGGCTCCCACACCATACACTGCTACCAGTATGAATCCTGTCGTTTGTCGGTGGAGTGATGGGTTCAAAGGCCGCTTCCAACACTGTACTGTCCTTATGATCCCCTGTCCAAAGGTGATAGTCAGAGTCCTCCGCATCAACAATCCCGGAACGCTGCAGCCACGCCGACTCTTCCCAGAACTGTCGCTTGATTCAGCTCTCCGCTGTCATTCATCTCTCTCCAACCGACGTCCGTCCCTCAACGGTCCAAAGTCTGCCAGAGCACCACGGCGCATGCATGCACATGAAGCCAACGCAGTCAAACCTTCGCACTCGCCGAAAACGCTAACAAACCGGTCGAGGATGCAGATGGATTCAACACGGGTGAAATCGGCGAGGGAGAGGCCCCGAATCTGAGCAGCGCCTTCTGCACGATACCGGCGGCGATGGGATCCGGTGTGTTGGCGTTCCAGCGACGTTGGTTGGGAACCACGGACCTTTCACATGGAGCTCGCCGCGTCTGCGTCAGCACGATTGAAGACGATTCGAAAATCGCAGTCATGTTGAATCAATCTTGGTCAGGCAAGGTCACGGTCATACTCGAACCTCATGAGGTCGGATTGATCAGCCGAGTCCGGTGTCGTCAAAGTAACATCTTCCATCACAAACCCTTCAACGCCAATGCTGCTCCTGTCGTTAAAGTCGGGGTCGATTCCATCAGGGATCTTGTCCTCATCAGCGCCCTACTGGTCCAGCACCGTTCGTGCCGAAGGATGTGTCTCCAAGGCAGCGGCTGCGAATGAACGCAGGCTGTTTATAGGACTTCTAACGTGGTTGAGCTTGCCTTCCGTCAAAGATGGCTTCTGCGTCCTCAATATGTTGCCCCGCCGGACTCTGACTTCTTTGGCATTATCCCGTCTCGACCCCGGTAGACACGAACATTTAACAAGATGCAGGAGACATCACCATAAATCGAGGGGTCCCCGGTGTGACTTGGAATCAGTGCATCGGTTTGACTCGTTACGTCCTTGCAGTCTATGGTCTTCGTGGTCACGACCTGGGGTTGATCGGCCTGGGGATCGAGGAGAGCACGCTTGATAGGCGGTCCGAGCAGTGTGAACTTCGGCTTGCCTCGCGTCGGTGCGCTGAGACCGTTCTGGTTTGATCTGCTGTACCATCAGGTGCTAGTTGGCGTTGGGCTGAGACATCGTTTGGAGGAGAGACAACTTGTTCCTGATTCGGTGGGGCCTCAATATATCGATTTGACGAGGGTTCGTTCTCTCACGGGGTTGTCTTCGGCGTCCTGAACCCGTCGGAATTCCAAGAACCACGAGGACAGGTTACCGCCGATGCTTTGCCAGGACTCCAGCGATCTCTTGTGGTAGGACCAGGTGCTGCACCGAATATGGGTTGGATTCGTTCACCGTGGCCTTGGAGAAGTGAGCCTCTGGGCGATAACTCCCCTTCGTTGCCGTCCTCACCTATTGGGCTTGCTCGGGAGTCGGCTTCACGATGCTGCGTAGGAGCTTGCCGGCACCGGTACAACGTGTCCGCTGCCAGTGACCTACCTCCCGCGAGACGATTAGCCAGCTGCCTAACCGTGTCCCACCTTTCGACGACTTGCGACCATGAACTGCTTGCAATCTGCTTATTTGTCACGGTTCAACGTTGGACAATGCCGGCGTCAATTTCAGTCCAGCAGCCGGGGTTGGAAGGGTGGGAAGTGGAGGCCAAGGTCGACATCTAGTTCGCCGGGTGCACAAGCCAGTAGGATGGCTGCTGAGGACACTTGGAACGGTCTGCCTTCTTTTCTTGGAGTGTTGCACTGAACGAGTGTGCCAGAGACGGCCCAGGGTCGAACTCGGGAACAGAGACAAGGCTATGCTTACACGCTGTTCGTAGGTTGTCGGCCGCGGTTTGAGCGGTCGTGCTCCTCTTGCGTCCCGCCACACGGAACACAACGCGGCAGCGGCCATTCAAGCTCCACACACTGTTTGGAATAGCCTTTACGACGAGAACGCTGATAGCTGTCTTTCAACAGCGGCGATCCGGCAAAAGGCCTTGGATCCTTCGGTCAAAGGTACCTGGTCAAGAATCTCGGGGGCAAGGCTTGCTGTACCAGTCTTTTGATCTCTTTGAGCCGAGTCGCGGTACGCTCCCAGGTCGTGCTGGTGTCCCAATTTGGCGCAAAGCTCTGACGAAACTGGCGTGGTTGCGAAGGAATTTGTTGAACACGCTCAGGGATGAGATTGCCAGGGAATGAAAGACCGTTTGAAGCCAGGTCTCCAGTCCGCATTTGATGGATTTGGCTCACGTCGAGCTGTAAATGCCGAACTGTGCTGCTTGCTCTCGTCGACTCGGTCAAGAAACTTCTTCCTCTCTTGATCACAATCTTCGAAGGTCGCCTTCTCCACCTGCTCCCGTAAGCGTTAATGGAGAGACGCCGAGAAAATTGGCCCATCCCATCCACCTGTCCCGCTTTGATAGATTGTGCAGTACGAAGGACTCTCTGAAAAAGCGCAGGCTATTCTTTGCGCGCCTAGCTGCGGGATCCACCTTCGTCACTGGGAGGTGTACCCGTGCATTATCTCCCCGAAATGGAGATCCTTAATTGGTGAACTCATCCTACCATGGTACGCGAGCGGGCCAGGAAGGTGTCAGCGTGGCTTTTGCCGTGGTGTTGAATGTCGCAAATGGGCCACGGCTGGCGTCGTCCTCGACGGGCCCACGCCTTTTCTGCGCGCGCTCTTTTTGAAGATGATGAAGATACTTCTACTTCAGTTCTCTTTACACGGTTTTGCTGCATACCACCAGACTCTCGCATAACAGACACTCCTCAAAGATAAATGGGTCCCATGGCAAACAGGGGCTTTAGGATTGCTCGTGTCCATGACGCCGTTCGTCTTCTGTTTCGTCTTCTTGGTGTCCAAGGCTCTATTCCCTTGTGACTGAAGCTGGTAGAGTGCCTGAGTAAGCGGTGGCGCAGCGGTTCGATGCTACTCGCAGCCTCGTTGGCCCCGAATGAAGCAATCAAGATCATCAGTGACGGATTCGTCCCTCGTAACCATGATGAGGAGACAAGAAAGCCGAGCAGATGGATACTGAGCCAGCCAATACCCCCTGCCAACGCTGTGCTCGTTGAACCTCTTTGTTCCATGCTTGAGGCCCTGAGTGTCTGGCTTCTCGCAGGTTACCTACTTGGTGGCTGAGAGGGGCTACCCTCATACAGAATAAATGCCAGGACCCCGGGAAGGCAACTTTCTGACACAGACGCAAGGGGCAAATAGTGATTGTCGACGTTCTGAGCTTTTTGACATTGCCAGGGTTACAACGATACCTGTGGCTGCAAGAAGTACCACTGTCAACTCGAGTTGCACCAACGTTGCTGGGGACCGTCGTTTGTCCATACCACCAGGTCGACGAGATCGCCCGCTTCTTGCGACGTACCTATCGAGGGCTCGACGGATGCGACTCAAAGATCCATTGTTGGACGACGAAGCGGCCATGGCCTGTGTCGTTGTGGAACCAAAATGACGGAATCGATTGTTCTCTATGAAATCTGTGTGGCACAATGGGTGAGCTAAGAGCGCCCTGTGTCACCCGTTGATCATTCATTAGGGCACACGACTACAGCACTTTGGCATCATTGCCTTCGATCAAGCTCGTAGAAGTGCAGAAGACCGTCAGAAACCTCAGCTGATTCTGTTTGACCTTGATCTTTTCTCTTCTCTGCCCTCTTCACTGCCCACGATCAACATTGCCATCTGCAGCCCCTCTCCAAGAGACCCCCTGTCAAGCACGATCTCTCTGACGTGTATCATATCACTCTGATCTGGGTTTCCCTTCTTTATTGTCGCAGAATCGGCATCCCGATCGAGATCTCTAGCGCTATGTGTCCGCTGTGTTCTCTCGACTTTGTTCCACATTCTTGAGACATATTAACATCCGTTCCTTGGCGTCCTCATTAAGTAAATATTCATCCCATCGTGAAGCTCATTGATATCCGTCGATGAGTCTGAAACAGCCCTGATACCGGTGGCGATCGTAGCCGGTATCTCGAAGAATGGAAGTCCGATTTCGCTATCATTAGGGTCGATAGTTGCGGAAAAGATCCGCTTTGGCTCTCTACCCTGTTCCCAAACTTCCCAGTGAAGCATTGTTTTCCCCACCCATTGAGAACCCTTATACCAAAGTGGCCCTTGGTTTGAATGTATCTGAAAGTCGGCTTTCCGAATGTTCTTGAGCTGTTCGATATCAGAATCCTTTGGAATTCTGTACTCGGGGTCCTCGATGACATTGACCAAGACGAACCTGGAGACTTGAGATGATCCTTTCAAGAACATATCCCGAACACTAAGGCGACTTTCGTAACCTTGTGTAACACCCACCTCGATAACAGTGTGTAATTGGAGCCCGGCTTCATTTTCGACCCAGAGAATAGATAAGTCTGGCTGCTTTTGGGACCATTCCATTCTCCGTGGAAATATCTATAGTTCTTTTTACCCAGTATACGAAAATTGCATCGTATCGACGAATCCAATTTCTCTCTGGCGATATCACCCAGCCATTGGATGATATAAGTATGTCTCGAGCCTTGCAGTGTGTAGAGGGTGAGAGTTGACGTGCGGGAGTTGTATGAGATTCGAATTCCAAGCCGTTTTGTATGAGACTCGAAGTCAGGATCCTCGAGCAGCTGGTGGAAGTCCAACAGAGGTAGTATGTGCTCGCGGGGCTTGTTTCGAAATTGAAGGAACTTGCCGGCCATTTACGCGTTGAGATCTGCCCGAACTCTGTCTGCTTGATTCAACAGCACCAGTATGCTGTAGAGGCGTATCATTCTCCCGCGGTGGCGTCATTGTGGACTCGAGGGTCTCGTGCGCGTGGATGGGAAGATTGAGGTAGGAGTCAGAGACAGATGGGACAGTCGTGGGACGGGATCCGGGGGACGCTCGGACTGCCCGGAATCCTCTGAGTGTGCCATGTTCTCAGTTATGCGAATCTTCACGCCGAGAGCCTGGCGCGGTCTCAAAATCGTGCAGCGCGGGAAAGTGACGGTTGGATGAATCGCTTGCTTCTGGCTTTCAAGCCACCCCGTGGCGTGATTTGCGACCGACGGGAGATGATGAAACGATGCAGCAGGTGTTGGTAATCGGCAGTGCTGGTGAAACTGAGATGGAAATTTTCATCTTCAGACGATGCGCTGCGGGTATTTGGTGACATCAGGTCATCAACCTCTTTGTCTCCGACAGAGGAGAAGCTTAGCTGACGCCGACATCCTGTGCATGTTGAGACAGCTGCCGGCGTTGCCTGTCGGTTCCATTTTGACATTCAACAAGGGCTTCTTTGTTACATTCATTCATTTTTGGCGTCTACAAAGGACAATCAGATGACCAATCCGGTACGCATCGGCCTTGGGTTTCTGTCCAGACGAATCATTCCATCGACCTCTCTTACGAACATTCAGGGCAGCGATTGTGTTACGTTTTGCTCATCATAGTGATCGACATTGAAACCGCGTCGCACCTTTCCGCGAGTTGATCAGTGTGAGCCTTCTCAGCATTGAATTTTGAGTTTTTCTCGCCATTTTTGCTAACACAAAGAAGTCGACAGTGTTGAAAGTCGACAGCGTCGAATGTCGACGAATATGATCAAGCTGGCACGGATCATTCGTGGACATTGTGTATTTGATTCCGCGCTTGCCTCGGACCCTTTGTCAAAGTGTCATAAAAAGACCCTCCTCTCCCCATGCTTTGCCCCCGTTCCACCCAACGGTCTTTGTCGTTGCCGGATTGCCGATCTTGGGAGCAGGGCTAGCACGTAACACATGCTTCGCTGCGCTGTGAGGATGAGAACTGGACGTGTGAACGCGCCCGGAAGGCTCAGATCACAAAGTGCACTGGATCGTGTCTTCCAACAAGGAGTGGGCTGTGCGTCTCGCAAAAGATGCTGTCTCACAGTATAGCAGCAGCATCGTTGCATCGTTATTGAACTTCACTCCTGGCGAGTCAACGATGTACTCCTCCCACTTCATTGCTGAGAAGATCTTCGTGAGCATCTACAATGAGCCAGTCAGAAACAGCACCCGGGTTATGAAGCTGCGGTAGATCTATGGGCAGCTGCTGAATGGCACATTTGGTCGACCACCTTTGAGAAAGTGCAGCCCTACTCGTGCTGCGACGAAACGTCGACAGGTCCAAGCACAAATGGCGATTTCCCAAGTCCAACCTGTCCAACCTGTCCAACCTGTTTAACCTGTTCAACCTGTCAGCCCATCTCCCATCGAAGAAGCCGTCGACACTTAATTATCCGGTACAACGACATCAAGACGGCTGACGAGGACTCCTATACCTCAAAAGGCCATCCATGGACCAAATGGCAACAAGGTCAAGTCATTGTCTAATACTATTCGCCTGCAAAATGCGGACCCTCGCCCTGGAATCGAATCTATGAGTTCAGGTCAGCAGCTGATTGAAGTCCTTGCACATCTTCCGGCGATCTGGATATAGAGGTCATCTAGGATGAGGTGGCAAGGGACCACACGATTCAACCCAGACCAGATGCAGGCTCCTCCTGCCAAGGAAGCCACCACTCTCAAAGGTCATATCAGAAACGACACCGGGGGGTCCCTCCACAGACGTGTGAGTCCGGCATCCGTTCTCCTTTGGGGTCGCAAACCCTGGCTGGGATGCGAGTTGATCACAAGCACCATGTGTTTTCGAACGGACACTGAGGAGTAATTGCGAATGAGAAGGCAAGTCGAGTTTCACAACGGACTGTACGATTGGCAATATTGTTGAGCCGAGAGAAATTATGCCTCACGGGGGGTTGGAGTTTTGTTCACGGCGTTTTCAATGGGGGGACCGAAAGAACGCTAGTTCTTCAGAATGAATGTCCTTATTGCGACGAAGCCCCTTCGCAATATTTCCCCTCGAGGGTTTAATTTGTGAAGCCGCAACTGCTCTCATCGAATCTCAATTTGCGTCATCTCACGACGAGGCTGGTTTCATCCCCGACCTTTTACAATTGCGCCTTGCTTCTCCTCTTCAAGATCGTTCCAGATGGAACCTGGAGCGACATTTATCTCCTCATAGGCACTGGTGGTGACTTCCGCTGTCGTCGCTGTGAGAGTTTGTAACAAGCTAACCAAATTCACGACGTGTCAGAAGCTGGAGGAGACGCATCTCAAGACTGCTGCTTTCTGTCCAGAGCGGCCTCACCTGCACCATGATGAGATTCTAGCATTAAGACTGTCTTTCTCCTTATGGCTGGAGAACTCTAAGCCATCCGTTGCGATGGACATCCGGCTGAAACAGACCGCAAGAGTAGAATGGCCGACGGCTTGAACGTGATCCACGCGCTCGCATCTCGTGGCGCAGACAGCACTCAGCGCTGACACGTGAGCCTGAGACACCAAAGCTTACTCGGATGCTAGGAATGTGGCGTACCGGCCATCGATCGAGACATTTCACAGAAGCGAATTTACGTCGGCATTTTATGGGCCAGACCACTGCCTCCGCCTTCCAATTGATCAAGAGGAAAGCAAATCTCTTACTAAACATTGCCCTCATTGCCCTCTCCTCCTTCTGTCCAGGTCTCGTCTGGCCCATGGTCGGTATCACGGCCTGTGCACTGGCGCAGCGTCGCCATGGTAATGGCACTATCCGACCCGAGGCCGAATGCACATTTATCTACACTGCTTTCGCCGCCTCCAACAGTTAGACTTCCTCCCAAGTCTCCCAGCATTCTTAAATCAAATTCTACAAGCTTCTCAGTTTCCCGTCTTCAAATTCATACCACAATATTACCCCGACAGTGATTGCTCCTGCTCTATGTTGCGTCGTGGTAGACGCTCACATTTGAATGTCTGTGGCAGCTAAGACCTTGTTCCAAGCCACGCTGCCCGCTCAGCCGATTCCCAACAGCATCAACGGGACCCCCCTCAGATCTGTGGCAAAGAGGAATTTGGAGGCTGATCAAGTAGGAGTCGACCTGTTCAGCGAATTTCCCGTCGGCTATCAATAACGATCTAGTAACACGCCGAAGGTTTTGGACTTGGTCTTGCCTCGCACGTCGATTCCAACCATAACTTGATGCAATTGCCGTTCAGACATCAAATCCATGGCCTTGCGAAATGATCCAACTGCTCGTCTTGACAGAGGCCAGATATGTCAGCGTCAGAGAGGGCACACCGGCGCCATGGATTACCACTCAATCCCACGATGAGTGCGGCACACTTTCACTCATGCCCCGTTCAGGTCGATCCCGTCGTTCTATCCACGGATCTACCTTGACCGAATGATTATTGCCGGGAAAATATTACCATCGGCTCTCCTGAAAGACTGGAAGTGGATATATTGATCGACTTTCCACGGAGCCATATTCCATGAACCGGCGCACATTGAACGCGCTCGTTGCACGAAGAAGAATCACATTCAAACTGCTGTCTCTTGTTTTTGGCCCCAACCCCTCGTTTATTATGTTTCCGGAAGTTTGCGAGATGGCATCTGCATCTGTTTTGACCCAGGTAGAATTGAGATTGTTCATGGCAAAGAACTCTTGAAACGAACGTTCGGTTTGCTCCCTGCGATCGAAATGGTGCGGGAGAAGTGAAAGCCAGAATCAAAATTCCAGATTTCCAAGTTGAGCAAGACAGCATCACTAGGATGTATTCCGAACTGTCATTCCTGAAAAGTGGGATTTGTTCTGAACTTACTGGGCCGCGGACGCGAAGTTTTGGCTGTCCGCGAAACCTTTTCTGCACACATCAGCGCCATGTCTTTCGCATGGGCACAGCCGAACTGAGAACATCTGTGGCAAGGTTCACATGACGGTTGACGCGCTTGTCTTCGGGGAATACCACCGAAACTACGATGATCGACTTCGCGATGACCGTCGAGATGAGGATGAACTCTGATCGGAGGAAACTTCCACAGATGGCCGCGGGGTCCAAGAGACATTACATATACGTGGCTCGCAACGAAAGATCTCACATAAAGCAGCGAGACAGGGTATGGGTAAATCTTGAGACGATACAATGGGGTCATTATCCCTCTACTTCCTGTTCCCTCGCCGACCGCTGAGGATACTGCGTTCAGCGGAACTGTGGTGGATCTCGAGGAGTCCGACTGGAGATCTGCAGCCTTTGATTCTCCCGTCCGTCGACGGCAACAGGAAGAGATGATTCAACCACCCGCGGAGCACTATGCCGGCCGCTGCGCGGGGGAGGGAGAGGAAGACTCCGACGAGATTTTGCGCGGAAACCAGAAGAATCTGTTCGTCCTCTTGCAGTATGCTGCCACTCCTCCTTGCGTTTCACCCCTCTGTGCGGACAGTTTCACAGACGTCGACGACCAGTGTGGAACAACAACGGGTTCGACATCGCCACCCGTGATAAGCTGGGCGGACCACGACGTCTGCGTTGAGATCCACCAAGATGGTTGGATGTGGGATTTGCAGGTAATTTCTGGTCTTCAGTCGTGTGAAGTGTTTGAGATCACATCTACCCAAACATACGGTTTCGCATGGTTGAAATGGTAAGCATTGACACCACACACGATTGGAGTCGATCAAACAGCTTTGGTTAGCAAGGCGGGGGGATGCTTTTGGGTCCGTGCACGGACGGACCCTGAAGACAGCGCTATTTATATTGGACAGCAGAACATCTAGCTCGGGGGAAGGATGACTGCCTGCCCTTTTGGAACTGCTCCGAGCATGAATGATCTTGTACATGCGACGACCCTTTGCATCGCCGCCGTAGATCGATGGCCGCCCCCCGGGCCAAGTGGATGCCACAAGAAGGCGCGATACATGGTCCTGTGAAGTGTGTCTGTCTATATTTTCAGGTCCTGTGAATGAACTGAGCGCTCCTCGCAGGAAGCGCGGGAATGGACAACTTTTAGCCCTTCCTGAGTGAATCAGACATGTACACCGTGTATGTATGTCCATCATCCACCGTTCGAAGCTATTGCTGCAGTCAAGAATCAGACTGTCGCCCCATTTGCGACGAGTCCTAGTTTTCTCCTCTTTACAGAATTGGACGTCCAAACACGGGTGTCCTACACGACTGACTGACTGCTGCATTACAATCACACTAAGTGCATCCGCCGGGTCCTCCAATCGCTTTTGGAATTCGCCTTGACTCCAATTCTCCCAGAGCGAATGCCATGTGAAACAACATGAAACCTGCTCGGGAGCTGCTCTCTGTCCGTCTTATCACAGGACCAGTAGCGCACGCATACAGATACAAAAAGTGACAGATGTGAAAGCGTCAGGGGGGTTTATACTCAAATTCCAGTGGCTCAGGCATCGACAGGGCATGTCTGGTCCAGTCTCAAGATTGAAAGCTCCCTTGTGATCAAATAGTAATCAAAATTCAATTGTGTCGCACGAGAGGCGTGCGATGGCAACTATTCCAAGTGAGTGCGCCCAATGCATATTCCACCCTGCGGAACCACCAATGCCCATTCAAGCCCGACCACGTTGCTGGAGGAGTGTGGCGGCCTCTGCACACTTGCTGTCACCATCGTCACTGCTGCTCATTCCTCGCCCCAGACCAAATGTAAATAAGAGTAATACAGGGTGTGTCGTCAGCCATTTGTCGCGTACTGTTTGCTTCAACACCCCGAGAATTTCCTGACCTTTCTTCTCTTCGACGAGCCCTCCCGGAGCCTGAGAAATATGGACCATCGAAAAGCTCAAGTTCCATCTTCTTCTTCGTTCACCGACTGGTCGCCCTCCGCATCCGGTTCTTCCCGCGTCTGAGTCCTGAAGTATGGGCACTCCTTCAGTATCCGGACTCCTCCATTCGCCGACTGGCTGCTCTCCGCATCTGAGTCCTCCAGTATCGGGACTTCTTCGCTCGCCGACTGGCTGCCCTCCGCATCCGGGTCCTCCGCGTCTGATTTCTCCAGTATCGGGACTCCGTCGTTCGCCGACTGGCTGCTCTCCGCATCTGAGTCTTCCACATCTGAGTCCTCCGGTATCGGGACTTCTTCGAATCGAGGGTAGAATCCTTCGATCAGGCGCAGCGCAACTCCCCGGTCGCGAGCCGCCTCTGCCACACCTCTTCGTCCTGGCTTGTCTTGCTCCAGGTCGACCATGCCGGGCGCCCATGCAAGACACAGGGACGTAAGCATCGGCGTGAGGTCTTCCCTGGTGATCAGATATTGTACAGCCAGCCAAAAATTCTCAAGTGGTCCGAATTCGTATGTCAAATAGAGAGTGAGGTCGCGAACATTGAGGAGTGGAAGAAGGAGATGAATGGGTAAACCGCTTGCATCCATTTGATGCGGGAGGATCATTGGTGAAGGTAGCTTGAGGCTCGTCAGGTTGACGAATCTACCCATGTTGACCACCTGCTGTTTCTTTGACGCGGTCCATGAGTAAAAGTCGAGCTGCTCGAGAGAGGCGCCATGCGAGTCCGACAGTGCTCTCATGATTTGGTACTCGTTGCCTGCGTTTGCATCAGATTCGTTTCGCGATATTTGGACAGTCCGAAGATGATGGCAAGTTTTGAGCAGTGCCAAAAGGTCCGCAACCTTCTCAAAAGAATCAAGCAGCTCCAGGCTTCGGATTTGTGGGACCAGCGACAGATCTGTCGGGCCTCCATCCAGGACATGCCGCGCGCTGAAATTTCTCAAGGTCTGAACGCGGAGAAAAGGAAATACATTCACCGCAGCGTAGTTACGGCCAGTCCCAATTTCGATCGTGGATAGGAAAGGAAACAGATTGAGGTCGGGTTTCCGCGTGAGAGCAAAGTCGAAGAGTTTCCCGAGGAAGAAGACTCCTCCATTCAGCTCCAATTTGATCTTTCTCAAGCTGGGAAGCTGTAGGACGAGAAAGGCAAGCCAGAGGCCTCGATCGTGATCTCGATTGCTCAGGACAGCTGTAATATCTGCAGTTTCCATGTCGAGGAACGCGGAAAACTGCGCACTGTTGTTGCTGAAGAGTAAGGCACGGCAACTCTCGATGTAGCCGGTACCGATCCAAGGATCGTGGAAGATGGATGGGTAGTTGTGGTCGAGAATGCTCAGGGACTCAGTGCCACTTGCCCGATACGGGTGTTTACATAGTGATCGGAGGAAGCGCTGTATGTTCGTGATTCCCGGAAGACGGACGTTGCGGTAAAGTTCAGGTGTGGTGAGATAATAGAGGCTTTTGCTGCAGCGGCAGAGGTAGCAGAGACCCTGTTGACTTTGAACTCCGAGGAACCCTGCTATTCGTACCAAGACCTCGTCGGAGAGGTCCTCGCCGCTCGCTGTGCCACGCATGGCTGGCTGGTGGGATCGATCAGGGCGAGTCACGCAGGACTCTGGCAATGACTGCGGAAGGAGGTGAGGAGAAAGAGAGATGAGAGAGAGGGAGAGAGATCTCAAGACAGTGGGAGTGCGATTCAATTATGTACCCGGGCGTCTGGAATGTGTGCCCTAGTCTCTTTCTGGAATTTTTGCCCTAATCTCTTTCAGGAATGTCAAGCGAACGTAACGGGAGTTTGTTTGTTTGGGTTGACGTCACTTCCGCCATGCATTCCGTATCCGTTGGGCCAATCAAGTCCAGGTTCACGCTGGCTTCACCCACCACGTCTCCAGGGAAGTGTGCACCACATATTTCAATCCCGTATCCCTTTTCCGGGCTCAGGAATCTGTCCTCCCACTGCACGTGCTGAAGTGGAGTCGGCCAAAACAAATCAAATATTTTACCACTTGAGGAATCCAATTTCCCACATGCCATTCGCGTACGTCCAGATTGTTGACTTTATCCGTGACACTGCAAGAAATGAATACGCGCGGCTCTCGTCAGAGAAGAAAAGCCATAATTATGGGAAGGAGACAGTGTGTGACGTGACTGTGTCAGATCACTTCAGGGTCCATGTCTCGGATCAAGTCGACCTGTACCAACTGAATCTCGCGGTGAAAGGGAACTACTCGACAAAGATGAACGATGAGTAGCGTGTCAGCAACACTCCTGCTGAATTCAAGGTGATGCAAATCTCTGGCAGTTTCACGGTAGCAGTGTTGGTGGCACGCGATATCACCCACGGTGAGAAGATCGCAGCCTATTGCTGATTGAGGCACGCAAGAAAGAGAGAATGTCGTTGCAAGGCCCGCTTGCTGCGCAAGAGCTGTGGAAGTGGAGATCGTCCCTTAGACGTTTCGAGCAAGCCCTACCTGTCACCATCACCCAGCTCCCTTCAAAACATGCCGAAAGTTGAACGCGAACAAGCCGAGGCAGGGTTCAAACAGGTTCCAAGCCAAAGGGGTAGAACTCAAGGACCCCTGTGCGATACCTTGTGGCAAGACAAGAACTTCACGTCTTGCTTGGGGGTACTGCTCGTCCAAGGATGAAGAGGCGGGCAGAAGGGGCGTTTGTCGACTCTGTCTATGTCCCGCTCGAAGGTGTAACGCTTCATGCCCTCATCTCCGCCTTCTCCCGCATATTTTTCCATTCTGTACGCAAGGTGCGTAACACGTGAACTCCGAAGACCAGTTGCTTCCTCTGCACTGGACGGTACCACTGAGGATCGCGAAGATGTAGGCACCCCAACGGCGAAGATCAATATTTTTAGGGGGGAAACGCTGGGGCGTTGAGTAACACCGGCGAGAAGCAACGTTCCTGGACAAGAAGTAACGAAAAACAACGCCAGAAACTAAAGAAGAGTTGAGGAAACATTTGAATCTCTGCGAGAACCCTATTAACATTAAAACCTTGTACGATAAAGGAACCGAGAATCGGTGGCAGCCATAAAACCAAAAGGTACAGAATCCCTGTACACACACAAAGCAGTTTTCACAGTTAGCTCTTGGGTCACTCGTGCGGTGACCTGTGGCCTGTGTCCTCCAGTCCGCCGCTTTGCTCCCGCCTCTCGAGATACTCCCCTACGTGTGCTGATTATGCTCCGGTGCAGCGTCCAGTGGAAGTAGGGCACCGTCGTTGTGTGGGGCCCAACAGCGTCGCAAAAACCTCTCCTTTGGTTGATGGGCAGGAGGGATGGTCCGCGTCGACACACGCCAGTTATCGCTCCACAAGGAAAGTCCCAGCTGAGTGGATCGTAGTACACCAAATGGCCCTAGCCGCTATAGCCGAGGCAGAAAAGGCAGCCTGTTGTTGTTGCTGTTGTTGTTGTTGAATGCAAGTCACACGCCAGATCTGGAACACGGCGCGGAGATATCTGTCTGCCATTGTCACACCGCGTTCGTGAGGGTTATACCACATGGTGGTGAAGACCGTCAATCAACCCAACCAAATAGGCCTCATTGCTGCCATGCACAAACCAGAAAGAGCAGGCTGAAGAACCCATACGAGCTGGGCACGTATCCCAACCCTTCACTGGACTTCATGGACAAAGGAACGTGTTCACGGGACGCTGCGCAGTGAAAGGATTCTTGGCCGCAACGAAACAGTATGTTGGCCATATATCCAACCATCCCAGCAACATCAGCACTACTTACTCTGTTTGGTTGGTGTTTGACGATGAAGCAACTTCCGGATGGGTCGTCAAGACATGCCGAGAGTAGGTGGTTCGTCGAAGTCGATCTTCATGGTTCGGATAGTACTTGGTGAAATTTGGGCTCCGGCGTAGGGTGGAGGGTGCGAAAATGCTCATGTGTGGCTACAACGCCCTACCTCCGTCTGAGTGACATATGGTGTGTACCCTGCAAGACAGCGTTGACGACCTTGTTCGAATTCCTTGCCGTTCTGCATCGGCACGGGCATGAAATTAGTTGAACTGTCCGTGCTGGCGATCTTGATAAGGTCCCCACTGCGGCACCGTTGCCAGAGCCACTGGGGATACTTGTCAAACCAACAGCACCAGGACGAAACTTGACCTTGCCGTGTTAACGAACGATATTGTCGTCGAGGCAAATGGATGTCGTCGACTCACAGTTCTCACGACAGCAGCAGAGCAGCAGACCATCACATCTCCCCAGGATACCATCACAGAGTCCCTTTGTGGCAATCGAATAGGAGAGAAGGTCGAGCACCGAAGCTCTTGATTTAATACTTGTCCCAAGTTGGGAACACCACCAGAAGTTTGTCCAGGTGAGTCTTTTAGGGATAACTGACCACCTACCAGCTCCTCACAGGGATTTGCTTGACTCGCTCTTCTTGAAGATGGACTTGCAGGTGCATGTCAAATTGATCATTGGCAGATATGGCTGTAGATGTTCAGGTGCCTGCTTTTGTAAGTGCTTGGCCCCGGAGCAATCGGCGTCGCGCCGTTATTGTTGGCTATATTCTACGTGATACACAAGAACACCCGGGTCAACGTGGAAGATATATACACATGTTGACTCGGTTGGCAGGCAGTCGAAAGAGCTTTCTTCTTTCGTTCTGTAATGTCTTTCCAGGCCACGACAAAGTCGGAAATGTCGCTGGTCTAGTCGTCCCGGCTCCCTCCACCCTTTGACTCGAGATTGAAAGAGTGAGCATGGAGAGGTAAGGGCCACCTTCCGATACTGACGACGCAGGAAGGCCGACCTCGCACCTCGCAATTCGCTCGCGAGACTTGAGCTCTGCCTCCTCAGGACCCGGTCACATTCATCTTCAACAACCACTCTCGTGACGAGTCAAGTTCATATCAGCTGCCCGCCCATGGACCAGAAAAGGTAAGTAAGGGGTTCTGGGACGGAGTGAACGACAAGATCCATCCATAGGGAACGTAGTGAGAAGAAGAGGAACCAAGTACACATGCGCCAGGCGTTGAACGATTCTTCTTCAGCCCACCTTCCTGGAGCCTCACACTGGACGAGAAGACGGGGGCGTTAACCTGGGGCGGCGCTTTTGAAAACTCTTCATGGATTTCAGGAAGTGGAGTCTCTTCTGGTGAGATGAGTAGTAACTTCGAAATGATGAAATTGGTAGCTTCCGCTCGTGTGATCAAAGCAGCATCATTGTCCACCGCCGATGGCTGTACCACCCCACGTTACTAGCAGCGCCCGTGGCATTGGTGGAATGTCCTTGTCCACAAATACATTGCAAATCGGAAATGTGCGTGTCAGATAATAGTTCCCCTGTGAAGGTAGATTCCATCCGCCCTCGATCTTGATACCGTAACGTTGTGGCAGAAGGCAACGACTTGAATCGTCGACTCCGCGGTCCCTCTTGATGACTTTACATTCGCAATGGATGATATCAGACGCCAAACAAGCCATCGGGACGCACATCCGACGGCATAATACAAGTGCTGGCGCTCTGGAAAGAAGTTTGGCCATAACCTTGACTTCTTGGGCAAGAGGGCACTTGCTGTCAGGCGTCGTTTCGATAGCGAACCTTTCCACGTCCGAGAGGTGCAACTTGCAATGGTTCAATGGCAGGTGGCGTCCCGGCCTCTCCTCGGCGAATAAGAGCTTCGCGGGAGAACCTTGCGCTTCATGTTTGCCCAAGTAGAGCAGCCGCCTTGGCGGCCCGTCTTCGAGGTCGACGACGGCTCATGACGTGTCTTGCAGCAACCACAGCATGAGCATCGTTAGTTGTATCGCGACAGTGGCAGTCGGTCATACTGGACGTATCCAAGATCGCACGCTGGGAGATACGGTTCGAGGGGCGGACAGCAAGACCCCCGAGTTCACTGGAGTCACAGCCCTTATGCGGAGCCCTTGAGAATTGTGGCGCACACCCGCATCGATAAGACCTGGATTAAATACAGTGTCAAGATCATCATCAAATATCTCGAGGGCAAAAGAGCTATTTGGGAGCCCCGCCTGCTGTGGATGGTGCCGCATGAAGAGATGAGCATTGCCATGAATGAACGACCGAGTGTATCTGTTGGAATGGAAAGGGAATTTCAACAGACTTCAGGAGAATGCTTCGGCGACTGGCTGGTTGAAACACGGTTGAAAAGATCAAGGTTTCGACCGTTGTGGGCCGCGGCTATACCAAGCCGCAGGCAGCCCGCCAGTAATCGCATGCCCCTGGCAGAACTGCGGGATTTACTGAAGCGTTTGCAATGCATGACTGCAGATAAGAGAGGTCCTTTGGTGTGGAGGCGTGCACAACAGAGAGGACATACTTTAGGAGGCTCTGATGCCTCAGAGTGCGGCTCAGTTGTTAATAAACCTCTAGTTGTGAATCTGTAGACATACTGGATCAAGGTCGTTGGATGTTGCACGCAAGGTGAATAAAGATATGGTCGACCGGCGTCGGCCGCGTGCGCCACTTCACAGTGATTGTTGGCTGTAATCTTCCCCTTTCGACGACGCGATTGTACAGCATCCTTCAAAAAGTCACCGACCACAATCCATTTTACACCAAAAGTCGCACTTTTCCACCT